TTGAGGAGGGGGAGGGAGGCGTCTCATCCTGGTGTTTCTGGAGAGGATTCCTAACGAAATGCTGAAACAGTTCCGCCATCTTAACGCCGTAGTAAAGAGAGACACGTACCTGATGTGGCCAGACGACGTGCGGAAAAGGCCGCTGTTCTGGAGGCGGCTGCGAGACGCTCTGGGCGATCCTCTACCCCGGGACCCAGAGCCTCAGCAGCAGGTACAGGGTCCGGAACAGAACGCCCCGGAACGGAACATTCCGGAAGAGCCGGTACGGAACATTCCGGAGCAGCTAGGACAGGCCCAAGTAAGAAACGTTGTGGAAGTGCAGGTCCATGCCCCCATGCGGGACATTCCGGAACTGCAAGATGAAATTCTATTACCAGATCCAGACGACCAGTGGTTCGGAGATGGGGATGACGTGCCCCTTCTACCGCTGTAGATAAAACTTAACCGTGTCACCAGACTGTTATTGCTTGGGAGTGCATATTTTGTGTTGTTATTCAAGAAAATTGTATCTCTTTTGTGATAAGTCTACTGTACAGAAATATGTAGTTTTAAACTAACAGGATTAGATAGTAAGTTTTAGAAGTTTTTGTGCACTATGGTCATTTTAAATGTATTTGTTTACCACCATATCTTTTCATATCACTTGTACTTGAAAGTAGCATTCAGGCATGAGATTGTCTGATAATATTGACTACAATTAATCATATGTATATGAATGCCTTTGTTAAACTTTGTTAACGCTGTTATGTGTGTGTGTAGATATACACTGTACAGCACTGTGTAGTTTTGGCTAATGATGGTAAGTTGGTGATTTTTTTGTACATTTTTTTGTACATTACTACATTTTTAATAAGTGTATCAATAAAAGTTTCATGAACAATTTTGAATTCGGTGTGATGTCAACTGATAGTTCTTTGTCGTGAGATATGAAGTAATGACTTTGACCGTAAGATTGAAACGGTATCCGTTAACACCGTGGTTAGAATCGTAGAAACATGATTGTACTGTTGTATGAGGGCCTTGAAGGTGGGGGGGGGGCGTTTCCGACAACGCTCTACGCTTAATTCGGAAACCTCCCGATTACGCTTTACGATAAATTCCAAGTGGCTACAACGCATTACGTGGAATTAAAACGGCGAATACGCTCTACGCAAAATGCGCCAATTACGCTCTAAGTTGAATTAGAGCGGTCCTTCTACGCTCTACGTAGAATTAAAACAACCGATTATCACGCTCTACGGAAAAGGGCTTGCGGGCCCCCTTGTATCTTTGGCCATGTAACGTCACTATGCACTGTTATAAATGCTGTGTTGTGTTGGCCCGGCGCCCAGTCGCCTCCCTTGGCTACTACCGCCATAGTATGACTCAGGACGAAATAAGAAGTTGCTGAACAAGGCAGTATCTTTGGCCATATAACGTTACTATGCACTGTAACAGTTATAAATGCTGTGCTGTGTTGGCCCGGCGCCCAGTCGACTCCCATGGCTACTACCGCCCACCTACAGTCGGCTTCAGTGCTCTGTGGTGGGCTGCCATAGTATGAACCCTCAATTTAGTTTTCAAGATTTCAAATTTTGACAAATATTCATACCAAAACACACAACTTAAGATTTCAAATGCTCAGTGTATTGTATGACAGGGCGAAATGATAACTTGCTAAACAAGGCAGGATCGGGCTTGTATTTCACGGAATTATTTCCTCAAGTGACGTATTTGAGTATTTTGGAAGGGTTAGGCATCCGGTGGGGCAAGGGGACTTTCTGTTGGCCGCCTGTATCCATGATTGGCCGCCCCATGATTAGTTCCAGACACGTTATCGCTTCATGTCAGACAGAACGGAACAAGGAAATCCTGTGCCTTTCTTGTGAGCAGGCCGCAAATAGACGGGCGTTTCATGCTCTACATGTACAGCCTTAGCTTAGTTTAGGCTCCGGCTTTGTTTTGAGTCTTCCTTTTGTGTACCAGTATCCCTTGTTCTTTTTTTTACTGTCCTGCTAATTTGCTTCCGCCAGAAGATCTGCTTGGAAATTAGTTGTTTCAGACGACGAACTCTTCCGCGCCTGCACCCCCCCCCCCACCCCACCGCCGGTCCAGCTCTTCTCACCGTCTTGCTGTGAAGGTGGGTTTTCAACTTTCTTTTCATTCGTGTACGTATATTTAAATGATTGTGGATGGAAAGCATGACAGACACCAGGCCCTATACCAATACTCCCCAAGCAGAGGTTTGGGTTTGGGGTTATGCTTAGCGTGTTTTTAGGCTTTTTATCTGGGTTTCTCACCAGGTGGGGAAAATTCGGTTCAACCCCGATAAAAAAGCCTAAAAACACGCTAAACATAGCCCCAAACCCAAACCTCTGCTTGGAGAGTACTATACCAAGGCGGTATAGTCTCACTGACTCTATAATCGCTCTGAAAAGATGTTTGAAAGTCCAGCTATTTGGAGGAAATATATAATATGTCAGATACAGCTGTGGCGTTATAGAATAATTGATGGATTCTTTAATCCCAACCCTTCTGGCTTATAGCAGGAGCTCATTAAGCTATTTTGTATTCTCATTACTTTTAGAACCATGTTGTATGGTTAAAAATTAGGGTCAGCTGATCAGCAGAATTTCATCTTCTTGCTAAAATAAACACATATCTACAAATTTCACACATTATGTCGATTCCAGTCAGTTATGTCAATATATTTTACAGTCAGTTATGTCAATATATTTCACAGTCAGTTATGTCAATATATTTCACAGTCAGTTATGTCAATATATTTCACAGTCAGTTATGTCAATATATTTCACAGTCAGTTATGTCAGTATATTTTACAGTCAGTTATGTCAGTATATTTTACAGTCAGTTATGTCAATATATTTCACAGTCAGTTATGTCAATATATTTCACAGTCAGTTATGTCAATATATTTCACAGTCAGTTATGTCAGTATATTTTACAGTCAGTTATGTCAGTATATTTTACAGTCAGTTATGTCAGTATATTTTACAGTCAGTTATGTCAGTATATTTTACAGTCAGTTATGTCAGTATATTTTATAGCTACCTTGCATCATGTAGACTTAATTAGTTATTTTATACTCTGTTTCAATGTTCTTTTATGTTTTGCAATTTGCAATTAGTCCCGGGCACGAATTTGCAATAAATTGTTCATATATTCTGTGCTAGTGATCCTTCCAAAAAACCTGAAAACTGTCAAGACAAATCGTCTCGCTTTTGGGGACCCGTTTTGGGGGGAAATGCCGTTTTAGATATATGACTGAGACGTTATAGAATTGACGTTGGTATCGTGACCACTGGCAATTCCTCTGTGAGAAGGCTTGTGGTTGAGGATCAGGGAATGGGCCAAGGCAGATCAGAATGATTTCTCCCCCCCCCCCAAACATCTGTCCCCTGGTCTAATTTTTAGACAAGATTTCAGTCGACTTCAAGGGCCGATACCCGCAACAACTATTGGCTAGTGTTCTGTAGTCAACCGCCAGAATATGAACTTTGGAACACAGGTTGCCACTATGGATGACTTTTCAAGATATCAAATGCTTTCTTGTATGACTGGACGAAATAATACAATTATTTTATTGCAAATTCATGCCCGAGCGCTAATTGCAGGAACAGAAGAAACATTTGCAACAAAAACAGACAATTTGTACACCGAGAACTGCTGATAACTCCTAAGAAACTACAAGTAAAAACTACTGGGTTTGAGTTCTTTTTTGAAGACAGAGGAAGACAAAGGATCCCACTTTTTCTGTAATTTGTGAGTTTTCGGATGTTAAGAGGAGAGTAGTTTTCATTTGTATATGTGTGAAAGTTGAGGTAGAATTTTGAGGCTACGTTAAAGAGTTCATTTCGTTCATTGCTATAGACTAGAGGGTACAATTTGAGATAAAATGCGTTTCGTCTTCCACGTATTCAACGTACAATGTTTGCAAATTTGTTCATACCATTTGAACTTCTTATACCGCCCTCTCTCAATTTCGAGAGGGTGTGCACTAATGCGTAATTTACTTATTGTAGAGCAAATGTTAAGATCAACTAACTCCAGGTATTTTTCCATAGAATATGCTGTTTTACATTTTTGGTAAAACCTAAGCTTACCAGAATCAACATAACTTGTGGAAAATAGTTTGTACATACATATCAGAAATTCTCAACCTTAGCAAGAATGGTGCATGCAGATAACTTGCTAAACAAAGCAGGATTGTGCGTAGCCCACGGAACTATTTCCGCAGATGACGTTTGTCCGTATGGGCCACCGTACTTCCCAAAACGCTTGACAGGCTTGGGGAATACATTTCAGACAGAACGGAACAAGGAAAGGCTGAGTCTGTCTTGTGAGCAAGCCGCAGATCATATACATAGATAAACGGGTCAGAAAAATGTCAGGTTCAGCTTTTTTTTTTGTAAATGAATGTGTATTAGGCCACACTGATTTAATTTTATTGATGACATCCGCGCGCGCATTGATTTTTGACTGTCGCCCTTTAAAAAAAAGATCACCTCCACCGAGGCTCTGGCCTGGCTCTAGGCCTGGGTAGTCCATGGTAGTCAGCGACAACACGGAGCCGAGCACCAAGGCTATCGAATTCGAAGCTCCACGACTCAAGTATGTACAGTACCGATTCATAATGCTGCAAAACGCCAGTTAGTGCCGGCTTGTCGTATACGTCGCTAAGTCCTGTCGCGAATTCACAATACCAGCTTTGTATTCCTGTGGTTTAGTAGCATTTTTATTTTTCGCCGGAATTTTTTTTTATTCGCCCGCGCGCACTAGTTTGGGGGTCTTCAGAGGATGTCATCCATAAAATTAAGTCGGTGTGGCCTTAGCCTGATTAAATGGCTTCACCGTTGCCGCCCGCCTAACACCCAGCCGCCACTAAAGCCGCAGACGGTAGAGTTTGCGTTACACAGAATAAACATGTTGGTATGTACACCCTCATACATTATGTCAACAACTAAGCCTCCTCTCCTCTTATGTACCATAAACTTCAGGTGTTCACATCATACTCCCCACCGGTCCGCGCAACGAGACGAACCTGAGAAAAACGCCACCAGACCGACATGGAGTCTAAACCCGCTCCTCTCGCCGTCTGCTTGGCTGTGGTTTCCGTGTTCATCGCCCAACATGGACGGGTTAGAGGACAACTCTCCCCACCTGTGTGTCAGACCTGGAACTCAACAACTGTCGTGTGTAAAGGGGATCCGGACTGGCCGTATACTCAAACCTGTGCGCCTCTAACCCGAGTACCTCCCGGCATCCCCGAGTCTGTCATCACGGTGGATCTCAGTAAGAACAACATAACTATACTGTATAACGGCTCGTTTAGTGGGTTAAGAAACCTGAGATCCTTAGACCTGTCTTATAATCCTATACAGGTTATAGAGGTCGGTAAGTTTGCAAAGTTGGAAAAATTACAACGTCTAGATATTGGTCATTCGTATTTAAGAAATGAACAAATGTATCCTCTTCATAATGGAATGTTCCAAGATCTGCGAAACCGTAACTATCTGGCCGTGGAGACTCACACAGATACAGTCGCCAGTGAGGGAGTGTTCACGGGGTTATCTAAACTCAGGCATTTACGACTCGGCTTGAAAAATATCACCAATTTACCCGATCATATTTTTGATCCTTTGACTTCATTGGAAAGTCTAGAGATAGAGGAACTCAGCGATGACTCCGAACCTGAAGACCTAAATACCACCATGAGAAGAGTCCACAGCGGAAGTGGGTTCTTACAACGACGCCTGCTGTGGGCACCGCTGAACAACCTTACAACATTGACTCTGTATAATCTACCAAGAGTCAGTGACTTCTACTTTGGACCTGTATTTACAAATATGTCTAGATTAGAGACTATAGAAATACATAGACTTTCTTATTATACCCTCAATGCTCAAATGTTCCGGCCGTTATTACCGACTGTGAAACATTTAAGCACTAAGTCTAATTCAAGGATAGCTCCCGGTCTGCTGAAGTCACTCACACATCTGCAAACGCTAAACCTCATCAACCTTGATTCATATCCGGATCCCGCCATTTTGGACGTTCTGCCTGAACTCCGACACACGCAGATTCAGGAGTTGTCAATAGACCAGGTGAATACGCTAAAATTAACATCTGATACTCTTCCAGGAATAAAAGGCCTGAAAAGTTTGAAAACTTTGATTTTTCACTTCGGCTTTTTTGACACCATAGAAGCTAACGCCTTTGCGGGTTTGTCACATTTGCAAAGGCTGGATCTGACGCAGGTCTTAGAGTTGACTTTACACGACAAGGCGTTCAGCGGATTGTCCTCTCTCACTCATCTCAACTTGACACAAAACGGGATTTCTACTTTACCACAATACGTGTTTGAAGGACTGTCCTCGCTCACTCATCTTGATTTGAGCCAGAACTGGTTGGAGACCTCCCAAGCTCAGCTTCCAGAGACCTTGGACTATCTTGATCTCAGTCACAATAAGTTACACAACTTAAACGCAGGTCCACCATGTTACACCCCTTTATCATTTAACTTCAGTGGTTTAAAATGGGTGAATATTCTGGATTTGAGTCATAATGAAATTGATGGAGCTCCAATCGATTGTCTCCCTCGGAATATCACTGTGCTTGATTTGCAAAACAACAGACTGAGAACATTCAATGGCCTCTGCCATATTGGGGGTTTACAGTATCTCGACCTTTCTAACAATAAACTCAATGATTATTTTTTCGCTGACCTTCATTCTCTTACTTGTGAGCAATCAGTCATAGAAACACTTAGGTTGGATAACAACGGTATAACAGGTATACAAGAAGGATTACCAGAAGAAATAAAGAGAAAATTGAAAACGCTGACTCTTTCTCACAACCAAATCCAGCGTATCGGAACAGGACAACTGACATGGTCGGACCAGCTGGAACATTTGGATCTCAGTCATAACCAGATCAACACCGTCATGCCATCCGCCTTCCGTGGACTATCGCGGCTACAGTTCCTGGATCTCAGTAACAACAAGATAAAGAACATAACTAAGTCAACATTTGAAGGTTTAGGAAACCTTACACATTTAAACCTGGAAGCCAACAGGATAGCAGTGATTGGGGGCGCCTTTCAGCGTCTGTACGGGTTGAGACAGCTAAATCTAAGGAGCAACAGTTTGGCTGTTTTAAATCAAACAACACTGAGTCCTGTTGTCTACCGGTTAGAGACTATCGACATTGCAGACAACCCGTTTCTGTGCGACTGTAATTCAATGTGGTTTGTCGAGTGGGCCCAGGATAAATACGACAGGGTAGCGAACTTCCACAACCCCTATCCTGATGTCCTTCGAGGGTACACATGTTCCCGTCCACCTGGATTGCGTGGAAGACGTTTGATAGACGGGCTGACGCAGAAACAAGAATTTAACGACAGACAGGATCCATCAGAACGAAAGTTTTTCGACATAGTCTGTAGTCATGGATTCCGGCCCAACCGCCTCCTGGCTTGTGTGCTCGCCTCTTCGGGCATCTTCGTCGCCATGACGACCATTTTCCTGGTCGACTACCACATCGGCCGTGTTCAGTACTACCTGTGGATGTTGGACAAGTGGAGGAGACCGAAGATTGGCGAAGTCAAGAACCAAGAGCCGCACAGATACACGCACGATGCTTTTCTTGCCTATAACAACCGGGACGTCGGCTGGGTTATACATCAAGCGATAGGGAATCTAGAACCTGACTACAGTCTGGTCATACACGAAAGGGACTTTGCAGTGGGCGCTCCCATTGTGGAAAACATCGCGGATGCCGTGGAAAACAGCCGGAGAACCGTCTGCCTCATCACCAGGAACTTCCTGAAGAGTAAGTGGTGCGAGTACGAGTTCCAGCTGGCCCAGTACCACATGTTTGAGGAGGGGGGAGGGAGGCGTCTCATCCTGGTGTTTCTGGAGAGGATTCCTAACGAAATGCTGAAACAGTTCCGCCATCTTAACGCCGTAGTAAAGAGAGACACGTACCTGATGTGGCCAGACGACGTGCGGAAAAGGCCGCTGTTCTGGAGGCGGCTGCGAGACGCTCTGGGCGATCCTCTACCCCGGGACCCAGAGCCTCAGCAGCAGGTACAGGGTCCGGAACAGAACGCTCCGGAAAGGAACATTCCGGAAGACCCGGTACGGAACATTCCGGAAGACCCGGTACGGAACATTCCGGAACAGCAAGAACAGGCCCAAATAAGAAACGTTGTGGAAGTGCAGGTTCATGCCCCCATGCGGGACATTCCGGAACTGCAAGATGAAATTCTATTACCAGATCCAGACGACCAGTGGTTCGGAGATGGGGATGACGCGCCCCTTCTACCACTGTAGATAAAACTTACCGTGTCACCAGACTGTTATTGCTTGGGAGTGCATACTTTGTGTTGTTATTCAAGAAAATTGAATCCCTTTTGCGTTAAGTCTACTGTACAGTTGTATATGTAGTTTTAAACTAACTGTATCAGATAGTATGTTTTATGGTATGGTATTACCATTATGGTAATTTTAAATTTACCACCATATCTTTTCATATCACTTGTACTTGAAAATAGCATTCAGGCATGAGATTGTCTGATAATCTTGACTACAATTAATCATATGTATATGAATGCCTTTGTTAAACTGGGAACGCTGTTATGTGTGTGTGTAGATATACATTGTGCAGCACTATGTAGTTTTAGCTAATGATGGTAAGTTGGTGATTTTTTTTGTATAATCTTGAGTGATTTCTCATCTTTTAACATTGTACCATACGGACTACATGTATTGCACTGTGTTGTTATGTTTGTTCACATTATTAAAGTATAAGTAAGACCTTTAAGAATACTGTCATGAAAGTTCATCTGTGTTGGTAGTTACATGTTTAAGTTAAAACTTTTGTTCCAACACAAAGAAGGTCTCTTACCCAGAGCCTTGTTTTCTGATAGACAGCCTAGTCAACAGGGCCGATCGGATAATGTATAGAGTCTTGCCGGCTGGTTACGAACTTGCAACAAAAAGATATGCTTGGAGCAAGCAAAGAGCAAGGAATGTCCTTTCTTGGAGATTATTAGCTGGCTCCTTTCAACTCTTCAAACATTCCTCGGGCCCTTTTAAAGATCCTTTCTGCTGACAACATTCCTAGGCTAGTCTAGAACTCAGCCCTTTTAGCTTTCGTCCGCACCCTCCAAGCAGATCCTAATCTCCAAGCAGATCCCAGGGTGGCAAAAGACAGTATGAAATTGGCCAGGCAGTACCCATTCGCCATTGGCATTGGGTGGTGCATTGGCCAATGGAAACTGCCTGGCCAATTTGATACTGACTTTTCCCACCTTGATAATCAAATTGGATACTAGAGAAGTAACATTTGCAAAGCAAATGCATGTTTACCTTCGGATATGGTCTGCTCTGTTAATTCTACATGGATTTTTAGACAAAACAAACTTACAGGAGTTTTGTATAATGGTCGTTCATATTTCTATAAATAGTGAATATCGACAACAAATACTAGTAATATCAATATCTACCATTAAATACAGGTACGTATTGTACAAAATATACATTCAAATGTACACATATGGAGCCTATTTAAAATTTCATAAACGATGTACATGATCGTTTACTGACCTAAGAGCATACTTTTACGTGAAACTGCCTGCCAATCTTTAAGCACGCCATGTAAAATACAGAGAAAAATTCAGACTGAAAGTGGCCAGTTGTATAACAAAAGATATAATCCAAATATGGTTTACTACTGTACTTGGATTTAACGAAATGCAGGAATTCTTTATCCTGCTTTGTTGCTAAGGCCACAGCAAGTAATTTTTATGGATGATATCAGCGTGCACATTAATTTTCGCCTGATTCTGGAAAATTTCGGCCCGCCTTGTCTTTTTTTTCGCCCGCTCACATTAGATTTGGAGTCTGCGGAGGATGTCGTCCATAAAATTTACTTGCTGTGGCCTAAGTTCGAGTCTAGGTGTGAGCTAGCCTGGGTATCATCTGGATTTTCGCTCCGCCATGCTCCAAAAAATTTTTTTCGAGCATGGCAGAGCGAAAATCCGGATGGTACCCAGGTTAGGTGTGAGCAGCAGTGAGGCCAAAAACGATCTCAAATTTGCAGGTAGAAGTACATCACACTTGGCCTTGGCTTTCTGTCAGTAGAGAGTTTAGGAAGCCCCTGAGTACATGTGCGCAGGCAGAAGTACAGTTGTCAAAAGTCCCTCAAGGCGACCACCTGGCCATAACAACCACCTTGTCCCGGTCCCTACTTTTAGTCCACAGGCGCAAGTGTTAAGTGACCTGTCCATGAAGACCACCTGTCCAAGAAGACCACCTGTCCAAGAAGACCACTTGTCCAAGAAGCACACCTGTCCAAGAAGACCACCTGTTCAAGAAGACCACTTGTTCAAGAAGACCACTTGTCCAGGAAGATTACTTAACCTTGGTCCCCTGGGTGGCCTTCTTATGCGGGTGCAGAAGTGCATCACAGCCTGGCCTTGTTCGTGATTGGAAGTGAGTCCAGGAAGCCCCCTAGCGACTGCAGACAGAAGTGCATCACAGCCTGGCCTTGACTGTGAGCGGTAGTGAGTCATGGAAGCCCCCTAGCGACTGCAGACAGAACTGCATCACAGCCTGGCCTTGACCGTGATCGGTAGTGAGTCCAGGAAGCCCCCTAGCGACTGCAGACAGAACTACATCACAGCCTGGCCTTGACCATGATCGGTAGTGAGTCCAGGAAGCCCCCTAGCGACTGTAGGTGGAAATGCATCACAGCCTGGCCTTGACCATGATCGGTAGTGAGTCCAGGAAGCCCCCTAGCGACTGCAGTTAGAACTACATCACAACTTGGCCTTGACCATGATAGGTAGTGAGTCCAGGAAGCCCCCTAGCGACTGCAGACAGAACTACATCACAGCCTGGCCTTGACCGTGATCAGTAGTGAGTCCAGGAAGCCCCCTAGCGGCTGCAGACAGAAGTGCATCACAGCCTGGCCTTGACCATGATAGGTAGTGAGTCCAGGAAGCACCCTAGCGACTGCAGACAGAACTACATCACAGCCTGGCCTTGACCGTGATCAGTAGTGAGTCATGGAAGCCCCCTAGCGACTGCAGACAGAAGTGCATCACAGCCTGGCCTTGACTGTGAACGGTCCAGGAAGCACCCTAGCGACTGCAGACAGAAGTGCATATCACAATTTTGCCTTGACCATGATCGGTAGTGAATCCAGAAAACTGCCCAGTGCCTGCAGGTAGTCCTCCCTGTGCACCACCAGGTGTCCCGCGTGGCGTGACTTGGCCCAGCTGCGCTCCTGCAGCGCCACCCCAGTCTGCCGCCAGTACTGCAGCAGCTCGCGCACGGCGTCCGGACGGGACATCGGGTCGTTCTCGCAGTAGAACAGCAGTGTGGGCGCAGACACCTGCGGAGGGACCGGCAAATAAACTTTCCGTTGGAATTCTATCAATGGTGAATCCGCTAGAAACAAGCACTTTAAAACACAATAATTATTACTTTTTTTTATAAAAAAAGAATTAACCGTAAGTCCTACCTTTATTTATTTCAAACCCCCACTGCAAAGCTGGATTTGTCAGATTTCTTTTGGTACAAAAAGTGGGGCCTTTCTGAGCAAAATTTGACTAGGAAAAAAATTTATTTAAAAAATAAGTTCAAAACTATATCGGGTGTACTGGCCCTGACCCACTAGCCACTACCAGGCTTAGAGAGGAGGCTGGAAAGAGTAGAAATTGACCAAATAGAGAGAGATGACATGCCGGGGAGTTGGTGCGACAAAATGTACTCTCTATCGGACCAACTCCCTCTGCATGTTATCTCTCTACTAGTATTTGGACAATTTCTACTCTTTCCAGCCGCCTCCTGAAGCCTGGTAGAGGCTAGTGGCGATTGACTGGCCCCTCCCCACCTGCTGGTTTCGGAAGGCATCGATGGCCAGGTTGTAGGTGTCGACGGTGTAGCGCCGTGTCAGCGCAAAGTACGCCATGGTCGCAGACTTCACCACCGCGTTTGGCAGAGGAGACACCTGCAGTAGTGGTATTACAGTCACTGTAGTAGACTGGATTAATAGTTCCCAGCAAAAGATATACATGCCTCCTGGCAGTCGTAGTATTGGAGGGCTGAATTGTGAGGCTATTTACAAAAGTATCTGTCTGTTTATTCATTTATTAATCTTACAAACAGATTAATACAAAATGATTATACATTAACAGTTGTCATCATTTAGCAAATAAAGGTAAAAATAACTTATTCAACACTAAAACTTCTAAAATCAAAAACAGTTCATAATTTAAAAAAGAATGCTGCATAAATTATGTAACAATAACTGTCTGTCAATTAAAAGAGTTTAAGTTAAGAATTCGATTAAATTTGACGTTTTTGTGACACACCTCCGCCACACCGGTCGCCATCTTGTCCAGCCCACCGATGACAATACTGTCGTACACCTGCCCGATTATCCGCGACCTCACACGGCCGTACCTGTAAAGTACATTGTAATAGTACTAGTCTACTAACAGTAACACATGCATACCTGTAAGGTACATTGTAGTAGGAAGAACACTTAGACTACACTGGTGGCTTTTTGACCCAGAGGGCAGCTGATACTACAGTACTACAACATGTAAATGGAGTTTGAGTAGCCTCTACCAGACTTTGAGAGGCAGCTGGAAAAAGCAGAAATTGACCACATAGAGATCTAGAGATAACATGCCGAGGGAGTTGGTGCGGCAAAATGTACTCTCTACCGGTAGTGGTCTCTGTATTTGGCCGATTTCTACTCTTTCCAGCCGCCTCCCGAAGCCTGGTAGAGGCTAGAGTGTGCGTACCTGTCGGGGTGTTGATGCAGGTGCAGTAAGACGATGGCGTACAGGTATGCTCCCAAGTACTGGACAGACAATACTCATTTTCACTTGAGTCTAGTGGAGAAAGTTATATAATAAGTGCCTTTCCCAAGGGCACAAGATCGGTGGCATGTCAGGACTCGAACACAGGACCTCTTGGCCGTTGCGCCACACGACCCCACTACATTTGTTTACTCACATAACTATGTACAACTGTGCGTACCTTTCTGGGTGTTGATGCAGGTGGAGTAGTAGGATGGCATACAGGTAGGCTCCCACGGAGAAGGCGTGCACCACCAGACGCCGCTCTGCCGTGCTCTCCTGCAGGTAACTCAGCAGCCCCTCCGTGAAGCTGAGAGAGGGAGGGAGCAGTAATTGATGGAGAAGATAGTATTCTTTCATTTAATAGATTATTTCATTAATATATTATTGTCAGGAAATGAGCCGGGGTGATCTCACAGAACTCCGTTTAATGCCAGACTTCTGCCCTAGTACAGGCCAACCGGACCTCTCTCTCTCCAGCCTGGGCCCCGACTGACTGACCCAAGCACCCACGCTCTGCCTTATGGGCCTCTTCAAAACTATTCTATGTACCCCCATCACAATTATACTTAAGTTCTCATTCATGTATTATTTTATTTTTATTTTATTCACATGGATTTTTGAGCATTGGATAGGAAGCACTTGTTGTGCTTATGTAAATCCGCTGCTCATAAAACATAATACATATGTAAACATAAAGATGACATAAAGTATAGCATTAACATAAAATGAAAGTGGCTGGCGCACCAATACCTAGCATAACATTATTGAGATTGGTCAAATCTTCCAGAGTGGTGGATATAGTTAAACACAATATCAAAGATACGGCAGTTGGTAGGGTAAGGGAGGCTGGGGCTACCTGTAAGAAGTAAAGTACATAATGTGGCGTCATTTACGTTGAGTGGGTCGGAAGGAAGTATGTTTTCAAGATGAAGGCAAGATATGGATAACAACATTTTGGTCCTTTCAGTATTATTACATTTGCAGTGTAATAAATAGTGTTCTGGTGTCTCATTTGGATGCCCACATTTGCACTCGGGACTACTGATACAGTGATGCTGGAATAGGTGGTAGTTCAGCTGGCTGAAACCAAGCCTGAGTCTGGTAAGGTGAGTCGATCACATGGTGTCCGTGGCCGTGAGAGTAGTGGGGATGTCTGGGCATGCTATCAAAGCAAGACTCTAATTCATTTTTGAATGCACGAATGGATGGGGATTCTTTGACGGTCATTCATGTATTACTCCGAGTGTACCCCCTAAGCTAGCACCAAGTCAAAAACTAAAGGGCTGTATGAAAGTGTGTTTTTATTGGTGAGAATTTTCCCTTTAGCCAGCCCAATGGATGTAAAACGTCAAAATGGTGAAAGCTTGTTTGTAACTGATGAAATTAGGACGTAATTGTCAGCAGGCCTTCTGTAATGCTGAGAGGGGGGAGGGCAGTAAATACGAGCGATTGCTTTTTTTTGTTTACATCATACACAATCATGCAAATTATTTGAACACATATGCAAATTATTATCTCAGTGGATCATTCATTCCAGTGAAGAAGGTCACACTTTTTGGGCAGATTTTTGAAAACATTATTCTGAAAACTGGACCTTTCTGAGCAAAATTAAATGCCCAGAAAAAGAAATTATTTATTTTTTCTATTTTATTCACATTTATTTTTCAAGGATTGGGCAAAAAGTTATGAAACTTATGTCAGCCCTCTCCTCACACATAAAAGGAAACAATAAAGCAAAGTAATAATAATAATAAGAAAGGACAAAGGTGCATAATGAGCTGGTGTACAAATCAAAATCAATCAACTAAATCAAACAAAACATCCTGTCTGCAAAATAAAGTTGAAAACCACATCAAAGCCACATTGAAAAAGAAATTATTTAAAAAATAAGTTCCAAAATATGTACCTGAGAGCCCGTGGCGGCCAGGCGAAGTGCGCCAGCTGACCCCGGACGGTCAGCACGTCCCAGCCGCGGCCGGTGTACAGGTCCCGGTACCGGTCCAGACCTCGCGGCTTCGCGCCCAGCCAGCCAAACAGCACCACCTGGGCACACAGTACTTATTCATTTGGTCTCAGAAACATATGGTTACTAGTAGTTAGATACATCCCTCCTGCTATAAAATTGCAATATCATGTAACCCAACACTATAGTTACCATGGTGACAGACAGTCTGATTTAGGTCGTTGACCAGTATAGTGTTTAGAAGGGAAGAAGAAACAGAGCAAAAATCCCAAATAATAATTAATATGTTTCCCTTCGATAAACATAACTATGCACTACAATCGTCTGTTCCCATTTGGGGCTCTACTAGGCAATGCAAAAGTGACGTGTACCCACCAACGGTCTGGATTCCGGCGGGAACACGGACTCATCGCAGGTTCTCAGCTGCAGCAGTGGGGACAGGTCACGCGTCCTGTACTTCAGCTCACTGCTGCCAGGGGGCGCCCCGGCCTGGGTGCTCATGCCGAGATGTGCGCAGGTGAACACTGAAAACAACATGTTTCACAAGTCTAGACTTTACTACACCAGGGGTGCCAGAGTATACAGTGCAATTTTGCAGAATACAGTGCAATCATATTAGTATACAGTGCAATTTTTAATATATACTAGAAAAATTGCACTGTATACTAACGTTAATACGATATCGATTGCACTGTATTACGTAAAATTGCACAGTATTCCCAAGGAGGTTAACATCCTTGGTATTCCATAGAATTGCACTGTATACTCTGGCACCCCTGTACACCTAAAAAAGACACAGAGTAACCATAACATTGTACAATTCTTGTTGGGAAGGTAAGGACTGCACCAAATGCAAAAGGCCTGGGGCTTGTTTGTCATTTATTCACTTCCACACTCACCGTGACCTAGCTTGAGTTAATCTAGGGTGGCAAAAATAGGCAAAAGACAATATCCATGATATGGCCAGGCAGTATCCATTCGCCAGAGAGGGTCCATAGGCCACCCAACCCTTTCTGGCCAATGGATACTGAATGGGCAATTTGGTACTGTCTTTTGCCACCCTAGGATCTGCCTGGGTACCGTCCTGGTTAGTTAACGTCCACTTTCACAGCCACTAGCGATTGAACTTGTTTACATGATAGGACTTTGAAATTACAGCTGCCAATTGCATAAATATAATGATATAGTCTACAGTATATAGAAGTATGACGTTATACACATGCATGCGCATGCTATGTAACGTTGGTTATACTTTAGCCGCGGCGACTGTTGCATGTTGCAGGGCTTCTCTTGCTTGCAGTCTTTTACATTAGCCTGTTGTTAAGGCTACTGTAAAAGACTGCAAGCAAGAGAAGCCCTGCAACAGTCGCCGAGGCTAGCTAGTTATACTTATATAATTTTATAACGTTACATCTTTGTAATATGACCGGCCAGAGCTTACGCTAGTTTCGCGATGCAGAAGATGATATAACTTAAGTACCTATCAGACGAGAGTTGGGCCCACACACACACCAGTAACACCAGCCAGCACTACCCACCTGACGACCTGCCGTACAAAGTCCTCCGTACGCCGAACAACAACCTCACTCCCGCCGCCATCTCACCGGCACAGGGGTCACAACCTCTCAACTTTCAACTCTCACCTTACTACACACTCTCGTCCTCAGGGCACTGTGCACTCTCGTTCTCAGAGCGCTGTGGACTCATGGTGAGATTAGCGTTTACCTTACGATATATCAGCGTTTCGGTAATCTTGTGCATTCATCAAATAAAACAATTGAAACGGCGCCATCAATTTTAGGAAGATTTTTTTTTTAGGTCTGAGTGATCATGCAACAGCGACATCTAGCGGTTTACATGCAAACATCACGTCAGACTCCCAGCTTTTATTTTTTTTTTTTTTTTTTTTTTTTTTATTTGCAAATTCAACAAGGACAATACAGGACAAGGTGGTGAGGTACTCTAGCTGTAGCTAATTTTAGCCTCACCACCAAACATAGAATACAATTACAATACATAACAAAAAACAGAGAACAGCAAATGGTTGGGATGGGTCGTTAAATAGTACAAAGAAATGTTTCGTAGGCTATATGATAAATCAA